CCGATTGATAGGGAGCCGGGTGTGAATACTTTGCACGGGCCCTATAGATGAAGAGGGGTGTGGTGCACATGTATACTCTATTTTGGTAGTGATGCCTTTGGTATTTGATATTTTTTTGGTGTTGTGATTGATCTTAATTATCCTAAAAGTCTTATTAAGTACTGTATGTTAAGGATGAAAGATCCAAAGTTTTCTGCTGTGATTAAATGGCCAAGTATGGAGGTCCTTCGAGACCAGAGGCCCTCTGGACGACCAGAGCCTCTGGTTGTATAGACCAGAGCTCTRGACTCCAAGTCCTTYGGGACCWGAGGCCCTYTGGACGACCAGAGCCTCTGGTTGTATAGACCAGAGCTCTRGACTCCAAGTCCTTYGGGACCWGAGGCCCTCTGGACGACCAGAGCCTCTGGTTGTACTGCACTATGGGCAAATTTCTGGCAGATTTTTGAGTTAACAGTCTAATTCACAAATAAGCGATTCTTTCTGTTTTGTTTCGTCTAATATTTGTATTTTTTTATAAAATATATAATTATAAGCTTTGGTATAATCTCACTAAGCCTTGTCGCTTATTTTTTTAGAATAAATTTTCTTTTCAGGAAGGTCGGTAGTTGTCCAAGGGAAAGATAAAGCAGTTTAGATCTGTTTGTAGGATTCCAGATCCTGGATATCTTTTTGGTACTTGTTGTGCATATATCGTTTTGAGTTGTATCTATGTATATAATACTTTTGGGTAGATATATTTGTATTTTTGGACCCGAATTATAGTACCGAAAATCGTCGGTTGCAGGCTTCGTTATTCTATTTTTGGTGGAAATCTATAACATATATCCCGTATTTGCTTGGAGATTATTTTATGGAAAATCTTTTGGATAAATAGTTTCTTTTTATTAAGAATTAGCGTAACCGATGTTACATGATTTTACTCGAATGTCAGCTTTAAAGATCTTCTTGAAGTGTTATACATTGAGAATTTCTGAAAATTCAATGCACAATCAACAATTAAGATAACAATCATGTACAACGACTATGAACCCTAAATCAACAATTTAAAACACAACCCTAAAATCAACTAATCTAAGATTGTTGTTAACCTCTCGTATACTACTCGAATGTCAACTTCTAATATTTTCTTGAAGTGTTCTACATGAGAATTTATGAAAATTCAATGCACAATCAACAATTAAGAAAACAATCATGTGCAACGATTATGAACCCTAAATCAACAATTTAAAGCACAATCCTAAAGTCAATTGAGCTACGATTGTTGTTAACCTCTCGTATACTACTCGAATATCAGCTTTTAATATTTTCTTGAACTGTTCTACATTGAGAATTTCTGAAAATTCAATGCACAATCAACAATTAACAATCATGTGCAGCGATTATGAACCCTAAATCAACAATTTAAAACACACCCCTAAAATCAGTTGAGCTATGATTGTTGTTAACCTCTCGTCTACCTGTAAAACTAGCAAAATCAAAGCAGCTTCCCGAGTTGATGTTCCTTTTAAGATCTTCTTGAAGTATTCTACATCGAAAATTTCTAAAAAACAATCGACAATTATGAACACACTCATATGCATCGATTTTGAACCTTAAAGCAAAAAAAGCGGTGTCTGGTGTGAGGCATGGAGAGGAGAGAACACAATCAATGGTGAGGAAATTGTCATTTGGACAGGGAAGAGGAGGATATAATTGGAGTGATTGTAGAAGATAGTGAGATGGAGAAGAATATATGTTTTGAGTAAAAGAAAATAAGAAATTCCAAAAATTTAGAATTTTGAAATACTGCTGATGCCATGTAGGACATCCATGATCCTACTTATATATATATAGGAGCGTTCAAATAAAAACCTGCTCCATTTGTGTAAACTATATAAACCAATCTCATCCATCCATTTTCTTGATCAATGGTCAAGATTAGTTTACTTTATTTTAGGAAATTAAAAAAATATATATATTAAAAATTTATTTTATTTCAACAATAAGGACAAAAATGGTAAATAAAATTTAACATGTGGTAACATCCTTCTCGATATTAATGACACTATTTTCATTTTTTAAAACAATATATTATTTTTAACTTTAAATCACATCCATCAATAAAACATATAAAAATAATGAGTATACACACCATATTCAATTATATGGAGTGAATATTTTAAATTTTGAATTACATTATATGAACGAAATTGGTTTCACCATGAAAATGTTTCGGTTCACATAATTTATTTGCAACAAGACCCAGTTTCATCTGTTTCATTTTCCTTTTCATAATTTATTTTCAAAATGCACCAGTTTCATTTTTCTTTTCATCAACAAAATGGATCAACTACACCATCAATGCAACGGTTACACCATCAATGCAACGGTTACACCATCAATGCAACGGTTTCACCATAAAAATGTTTTGGTTCACCTAATTTATTTGCAACATGAACCGGTTTCACGTTCATGAAACCTGTTTTATTTTCCTTTTCATAATTTTTTTTCAAAATGCACCGGTTTTATTTTGTTTCTCATAAAAAACGGATTAACTACACCATCAATACAACGGGTTCACTATAAAAATGTTTCGGTTCACCCAATTTCTTTGCAACATGAACCGGTTTCACGTTCATGAAACCTGTTTCATTTTGTGGATTTTTATTTATTTATCTACGTTTTGATGATTTCATTTTATAATTCAATTGTTTCATCATGACACGTTTCCTGATTATAACTCATGAGAATATATGAATCCAAAATTTTAATATTTTAATATAATTAAATATTTAAATGTTACCATTTATACAATTTTCTTTATTACATTTCCTTACTTAAGATTTATTAATAACTTCCATATTTGATAGAAAATATTGTAAATGACCGAAATATCCTTATTGATTAAATTTAATTAGAAAAAAAAGAATTTTCCTATTGGTCGAAATTGGTTTACACGGTTTCTTAAAAATGCACGGTTTTCATTTCAACGTGCCCATATATATATATATATATATATATTTAATAATTTAATCTAATGACTAGGAACACTTCTTCCTTTCAGATTGCTCATTTGAACCTATGACACACACTATATACATATATTTAATGTTTTAAATCTTTTAATTAGGATATGATTAAGACAAATAATACCATCCCCACCTAGGGTATATGCGGGTTGGGTTGGATGGTTTACGTCACTTTTACAACCCGGCCTAATTATGATGGTTTGGAAAAATCTCAACCAACCCAACCCAACCTAACCCATTCAAAAATATAACCCAAACCAACCTAAACTTTGTGGGTTGAGATGAGTTGGGTTGGGTTAACGGATTAGTAGTTACATGAATATATCGAATGAAATAATTTATAAGACTTAGGTTTATAAGACCAAACTATAAAACATCATATCTAAAAATGTTACAATAGGTCTATAGGACGTTTTTGGGCGTTTCAACAAATTTTTTATAATACATTCTAAATAAAATGCCGTATTAGTTATTTTATAGAAACATTTTGATAAATGTCCCGTAAACTCATCTAGTTATGGGACATATATGTGTATATGACATATATGTTTATATGACACTTTTTCAAGTGTTGCCGTACAAAATAATTTATACAACACTTTATTTTAAAGACGTCATAAAAATTTGGTAAGACGCCCAAAATCAACCTATAAACATATTGTAACTATTTTAGATAAGACTTTTTTTTGTTTCATCCAAGAAAATATCATATTAGGACGCTTAGGCATTTTAGATATCCTAACACCTCATGTTTTTGTAATGAAATGTTATAAGTAACATTTTTTTCCCACCAAAGTACAACATCAAATGACCGTCTTTGGATTGATAGATTTGTCAACTACATGTCTACCAATATCATTCATATTCTCCAGCATCCATTTATTGTTGTTGCAAAAACGATTTCAATAATTTCTCTTATTAATTAGATCATTTGTCATCATGAATCTCGTTGGGTAACCTATATATTTAGTTCAAATGAAATACAAACATAATCTCTATAAACATTATATAAAATTTTATAGAAATTATATATTAGCGACTTGTTGAGCTAGGACTAACCTAATCTTAACCCTCTTAATTAACGGCTTACTGATTTATACCAATTTAACAAGTTGGATTTAATTGAGTTGTTAATAGTAGGGGTGCTCAAAAGCCCGACCAACTCAATCAACCCGATCAACCAAACCCAACACGAAATAACTCAACCCGAAATAACTCAACCCGAAGCAACCCGATGTTTAATCGAGTTGTAAAATTGTCAAACGTAGGTATTGAGTTGATATTGAGTTACTATTATTTGAACCCAACCCACCCCGATTAACCCGATATTCTTTTATTTATTGGATTTAATATGATTATTGAATTTTTATTAATATGTACATTAGACAATTAACTATCATGTATGCTTTTCATATACACATATTTTCAATCTATTCACGTCTTTATATAACTCATTCGTATATATGTTCAATAACTACGAACATATATATGTAAATTGAGAAAATTAACTGAATGTGATATACGTAAGAAATATGAATAAGTTGTATCAAATAGTTGATGATGAAAAAGAAATTATAAGTAGAGAAATAACATATTATAAGTTAGAAGAATATTTTAATGTACCGAAGTATCAATCCGACCAACCCATATGAAATGGGTTGGGTTAAATTTTTTCAAACTGCAAGCATTAAATTAAGTTGTTCAAATATCTTTAATTCGATCAACCTAATCCATGAAGAACCCTAATGATAGAATTGAGTTGGACGGGTTTCTTGACGATTTTTCATACATCAGTGTGCCCCGCTTTAGATATAAAAATGAATCCTGCTCTTTAGTCTTTTCTCCATGCACGTAAAATTCCCATGTGGTTGTGGTAAAAGAGGTCACGAGATAATTAGTTGTTTAGAAATCCAAGATACGGTGGGACCCAGAAGATGCCAAATGTCCACAAACGTACTGAACTGGTGCATGAAAGAGGAGTATCCAAAAGCCACCGCAACCAAACGCACCAATCCCGGCGACTGGTGGTGGGTCGTCGTCTTCCCCCACCGCCATCCTGACTAAATTACCAAAACACCCTTGTCATTATAAGTAATGCCAACGGCATTTTTATTTAAAGGACCGTACGTGTCAAGATACCAATCATTTCCTCCGCCGCTTCTCTCTCCTCCTCCTCTTCCTCATCTCGGAGTACTCATCACGCCCAAAAGTCGACCCACAAACAGTAATAACACTACCAGTAGGAAAAGTGTTGTCATTAGGGCCATGCCTGGTTCTTCTTCATCGCCTGAAATCGAGAACAATGGCGCTTTGCGTAAGTTCAAGCTGAACGAGTCGTCTTTCCTCGCTTCTCTCATGCCGAAAAAAGAAATCGGCGCTGACCGATTCATCGAAGCTCATCCGGAGTTTGATGGCCGCGGTGTTGTTATTGCAATCTTTGGTACTTCTATAACTATCTCGGTTTCTTGTTAGTTTTCGTTGTTTTGACCACCGAAGTGAAAACTAAATCTGTAACTTGATTAATAGTCTGAAAATTTCGATTGTCATGGTAAGTAGGGATATTCAATCTATGATTGATTCTAGTCCGTGTCTTTTTTGGTCGTGCGAAGATATTAGTTAGTGAACATGAGTATGTATATGAAAAATATAAATTAGGTTGATGGCCTGCAGAATCTGAACAAATGATCCCTAAATAGATTTAGATGAAGAGGCAAGTCATTGCATTTCATATTAAAATTAAGGGTGTGCACATCTACTTCTTATATGCACATTGATAATCATCTACACTGAGGAAATTTCTAAGTACTTGTGTTTCAGTTCGAACTACTTGCTTGCCCTGATGTATTAATTTAGTTCAAGAACTTAAACTCCTAGAGTATGATCAAGGGTAGGGTGGTATGCATAGTTCTTAGCAACATGTCAAGAAGATGATTTGCTGTCATCTTGGGGCTCACAGTTGATGAGAATGAGACTTTCTTGGTTTATTTGGAACCATAGGAGCCATGCGTCTGAGATTGCTGTTCTTGTGTGTAGACAGGATTTGTAGTTGCAATTCATGTTTTTATTGATACATCCCGTATTTAAGACATTTGAAATCAGCGAATACAACTAATATGATGTGACACTAACTTTTCATAGAGTTTATCTCAGCCCTTGTCCCAAATTTAATGAATCCTTTTTTCCACATGATAATATTTTCTGCTGTCACTTGGTTTAATGTTCTATTTCTATGTAATCGTATTGCAACAAAAAATGTATCTTATCCAACTTGTGTTGCTGTAATGGGTTTGTCTGCACGTTCTCTGATTGCGTATTAACAGTATTACTTGCCAGGTGGTTAAACTCCTAGTTGATGGCCTATTTTCTGGCTTTTCAATTCTAAATGGCTATCAGGCAAAGGAAAAAAAATGTTCTTATGGAATCATAACCGGATGGACCTTAAAAATTTCTCATGACTGGTTTCTTAAAGTGAAACTTCCTCATCTTTTTGCTATTTTTCTGCTTTCAGATTCTGGTGTTGATCCGGCTGCTGCTGGATTACAGGTGACCTCGGATGGGAAGCCAAAAGTCCTAGATGTTATTGATTGGTATCCATGGAAATCTAATCAACCAATCAATCTTGCTATATTTTTTCCTGTGATGATGCTATTTATACAGATTTTTTCTTATCTTTTCTTTTCCCTCAGCACTGGGAGTGGTGATATTGATGTGGCAACTGTTGTGAAGGCCGATGCAAATGGTTGTATTCATGGAGCATCAGGTGCATAGTTGTTATATTGACTTCAATGACTAGCTGGATGTTGAATGTATACCATTTGCTGGATATATGATTACAAATAAGCCTTGTGTTTTGCTTACAGTTTTCTTTTTACGTATGATTAATTCTTTTGAATAATTTTATTTCAGGGGCATCTCTTATTATAAATCCTTCTTGGAAGAATCCTTCTGGGGACTGGCATGTGGGATATAAATTAATATATGAGCTTCTCACAGACACACTGATATCTCGTTTGAAGGTGGGCCTTACTTTCTGAGTGATCCAAGAGCTACATTTCATACAATTATGAGAATTTATGGAACCAGTTGCTTATTTTTATCTATATGAAAATTTTGTAATCTGGAGCAGAAAGAAAGAAAGAAGAAGTGGGATGAGAAGAATCAGGAAGCAATAGCTGAGGCTGTGAAGCAGGTTGAAGAGTTCGACCAGGTTGTTCCCTGCTGTGACTTATTGTTGTCTGTCTTTCATTTTTCCACATGTTTAATTCCTGAACATCAACCTTGTGGAGATTATTACCTGGAAGACTCATTATCTTGTTCAAGATAATACTATAAGAGTTGGATCTCTAGTACAATCTTGATCACAACCATTCTCTAATTCATTACTCATTGAACAATTCTGTTACTTTTTCAGTATCCACTATCTGGTACAGATAAAGTAAGAACTCATACAATGTAAAATCTCAATTTCATTAGCCATTTAACATTTTGCTTTGATGCCTTTTTCCCCACTGATTGGTTGTTAAATTTACTAATGCGCCTTAGGTTTAATGCTGGCTGGAATTTTCAATTAATCCTGTTTCTGAAATTTGAATGGTGTCATTTGTGTTACTGTAACGTCACCTCATTATGGTGTGACTAACAATTTCCTATCTTTAGAAGCAAAGAAAGGTTGATGAGATGAAATTGAAAAGGATTCGTGAAGACCTACAGGATAGAGTTGATTATTTGAAGAAGCAAGCAGAAGTCAGTGATATATCTCTTCATGTCTCATTGAATGAAGTTTTCTTGCTTTTTTTCAGTTGTAATTATGTGCATCCATGTTTGTATATGTTAGAGCTATGATGACAAGGGGCCCGTTATTGATGCTGTTGTATGGCATGATGGAGAGGTGTGGAGGGTTGCTCTTGACACACAGAGTCTTGAGGATGACCCCAAGTGTGGGAGACTTGCTGATTTTGTTCCTCTAACTAATTACAAGTACACATTGTTTCCTTCACATATTTGGTTTTGTTTTGTATATTAATCTTGCTGCAGGACTTCATTACATCTTCCATATAATTGTTTATTGATCTCTCAGAACTAATTCTGCAGGATTGAACGGAAGTATGGTATCTTTAGCAAGTTAGATGCTTGCACGTTTGTTGCCAATGTTTATAATGAAGGTACTATCTTGAGTATCGTTACTGACAGCTCCCCACATGGCACTCATGTTGCTGGTATTGCCACTGCCTTCCACCCTAAGGTACGATGGAAATTTATATTCTCTTTCTATCTAATCTATGCACAACTTGTTTTCTTCTGAGTCATTGCTGAATGTCCTGGTCGTTTACTAAATCCTGTGTACACTTGTAGGAACCATTGCTCAATGGAGTTGCTCCTGGAGCACAGGTGATTTCATGTAAGATCGGAGACTCACGCTTAGGTTCAATGGAAACTGGAACAGGCCTGACACGTGCACTAATTGCCGTTGTGGAGGTATCAGCTTCTACACAAATCCTATCCACCTTTATATTTGATACGTGATTAATATGTCTTCGCTTCATATGAATATTAGCATAGTGTGTGCCTTGCTAAATTACAAGAATGGTAACTCTATTCTAGGTATTATGTGTAAGATAACTAATGCTTTCAAAGTTCATACTTATTGCAGTGAAGTATAAGCAAGTACTGTTCGTTGTCATGCAATAGTTTCACATTCTGGGCTTTTGCTTTTATGTACTTGTACAAATTATCCACAAGTGATGAGAGATTTCTGTATATGCTGCTATATGCCCTTGCTTGTCGTCTCATATATGTTCATGTCTCAATACTTTATCTTGTAACAGGAAGTTCTATTGTTATCACTTGATTTTTATGGAAGAAAAGAGCATATTGAATTATGAAAGTGTCTTGAATGACAATTAGAGATCTTAAGAGGAGATAAAGAGCTGAAAAGGTCTATGTATACTATGAATATTGGGGAAGGCGCCAGTGAGACCTATTTACCAACTTCGCTTTATTTTTAGCAATCATAATTCTTCACATCTGTTCAGAGAAGAGAAAACTGTTGGCAATCAGTATCGAGTGGAGGCAAACTTTTTATCTGCATGCATGCTTGGTCATTTAAGAGATGTTCTTTTAAATCTTCTGCTTAGTTGAACGCTGTCACAGCACTTGACCTACGTTTGACCTGAATAATGTCTTTTTTCTCCCAGCTTACCTCTTACCTCTGGTTGATTTTTGTTATCCTTTAGCATTTACTTGCTGGACGTTTACACATTCTAGTTTTCCTAGTGTTCTTAGTAATTTGTTTGGATCTTTGCAGCACAAATGTGATCTAATCAACATGAGTTATGGAGAATCCACGATGTTGCCGGACTATGGCCGCTTTGTGGAGCTTGTTGATGAGGTTATAGTTTAGACATCTGTTGGATTAAATTTCTAGAATATGCTTTTCTGTTTTTTTGTCACTTACAGGATATGATCACTGAATATAGGTGGTAAACAAATACCGTGTAGTATTTGTTAGCAGTGCTGGCAACAATGGGCCTGCATTGACCACTGTGGGGGCGCCTGGGGGTACCACATCAAGCATAATAGGAGTTGGTGCTTATGTCTCTCCTGCTATGGCTGCTGGAGCTCATGCTTTAGTTGAGGCTCCTCCTGAAGGGCTCGAGTACACTTGGTAATCTTTTGGTTCTGGAGATATTACTGAATGTTCTGTTGGGCTAAATTTGCAGTTATAGTAGTTTATCTCACAACATGGTTTTGCTATGAAGATGCAGCTATTGTCTATCTGATATACTTCGTTTCAAGTGTCCTATCATCTGCTGAACTGAATGCAAAATGCAGGTCTAGTCGAGGACCCACTGCTGATGGGGATCTTGGTGTGTATGTAAGTGCTCCTGGTGGGGCTGTGGCGCCTGTTCCTACATGGACTCTCCAGCGGCGCATGCTTATGAATGGTACATCCATGTCTTCCCCATCTGCATGTGGTGGAGTTGCTCTGGTCATCAGTGCAATGAAGGTATTACTATATGCTTAGTTGTTTGTCCTATTATATGGAATATATAACCATTCTTGTTGTTGAAGTTGTTAACATTATGCAGGCTGAGGGGATTCAGGTGAGTCCGTATAGCGTGAGGAAGGCTCTTGAGAACACTTGTACTCCGATTGGCTGTTTGCCAGAAGATAAACTATCTAATGGAGAAGGCCTTCTTCAAATTGACAAGTTAGATTTTGGCCTTCATACTGAACTACTTCATGAATTATTTGATTTTTTTTTTGATTAACCTGGATATCCAACCCGCTATACGAGCCGCTAATCGCAGGGTGACCACCTACTTTGTGGGTAGCCCGGAGTCACCGCATATGAACCTCCATGGCCACAAGGGGATTTTTATTCCTCCTTGGATTTGAACCTGGGACCTCCAACACTTTTGACCTTTGGAGCCCAAGCTCAAACCAATCAGGCACCACCCTTGTGGTTGAATTATTTGATTATTTCTATTATAAAGTCTGGGCATTCTCTTAGAAGTGACGTCCTTTCAGGGCTTTCGAGTATGCCAAAAAATCAGCTGATTTGCCATGCGTTTGGTACAAGATAAAGATCAGTCAGGCAGGAAAATCAAGTGAGTGAACTTACTCTTCCATCTTTGTCCTCACTCTTTCCTTGATACTCTGGAGTTGATATCGCCTCTTCGAGAAGTGAATATCCACCCTTAGATTATAATGCATTTAAAAGATAACTTCTCTAGGAGCATCCAGTCCAAAAGGCTAGCCTTTAGGACAATCTCAGAGTTTTTTAATCATGATGAGTGTAGCCCTAATTAACTTATTGAATGCATAGATTTTCGAAGTTTATTCGATAGAGGAAAAGTCTACTGCATTTTTTAGGATATTGTAGTTGACTGACATTGCAATCTCTACAAACTCAATTCAATCAATTTTGACAATGTACTCTTTGCTGCAGCAACAACATTGCGAGGCATATACCTAAGAGAGGCTAGCTATTGCAATCAATCTACCGAGGTGAGACTGTAGCAATTTTTAACGTACCAATTTGTCCTTTCACTTTGGTTGTCAGTGAACTGCAATATTAATTTTCTTAATCAGATGATTGCTCATGACATTTCAACTGTAGTGTTAGACTAAAATACCAAAAAAAGTGCTTGTTTTTTTTCCTAAGAGAAGTTACATCGTTGTATGGTATAAACAAATATCTTAAAGTATCCCAGCTTTATAATCGTTCTAGGTGTTCTATATTTGATACTATTTCTCTTGAACAGTGGACAGTGCAAGTTGAACCACAATTCCACGAAGGCACAAGTAATTTAGAACAATTGGTCCCATTTGAAGAGTGTATCGAGTTACATTCTAGTGGAAAGGAAGTAGTGAGAGCTCCAGAGTATCTTCTTCTGACTTATAATGGGCGTAGCTTCAAGTAAATCTGCTTCCCTTTATTGCATAATAATAAGTTTGACAATGTCTAATTATTAGCTGTTTCTCTATTGCATAGTTTATGATTGTGCATCAATTTTAGAGGCCTAGATGGTAATTTGTAGTTTCTGCTAATATTTTGCTTATAAATTTCAATTCAGTTCATGTTTATATCAAGTTTGTAGACCTTCAGGTTATGTGGATTATCTGACCAAACATTTGCCAACTCCTTTTTTTTTATCAGTGTGGTCGTGGATCCTACAAAGCTTAGTGATGGTTTACATTATTTTGAAGTGTATGGGATAGACTGCAGAGCCCCATGGCGTGGTCCTCTTTTTCGAATTCCAATTACTATAACGAAGCCAAAAGTTGTGGAAACTCGGCCACCTCTGGTTACATTTTCTGGACTATCTTTTCAGCCAGGTTTGTACACAGATAATTGTGACGATATTCAAATTAGTACTGATATCTTTATTGTTGTATGTGATAAATTCATCCAATGCATGTGTCTATAGTGATGATGAGTCCGATTTCTGTTCGATTATGGTGGCTGATTTCAGGAAGCCTGTGCTTGCATGCCTTTGTTCTACTTGGTCTTTATTTTTGCTACTGCAACTGAACTTAACTTACTGAAGATAGCTTCAGTTACGAATTTTGATTTCAATCTTGGTGTCTCAAACATTCCATTTATGAGAACCAGTGATCAAAGTCCACAAGTTTTTCTTCGGGGACCTTTTAAGTTGACCAATTTCTTCATACCTTTTGTCAGCCGCCTTTAGTTTGATTTGTTTCCTGTTATTCGTTAAAAGGTTATCTGAATGTGATGATCATAAGTTGTCATACCCTTTGTCAACTGCCTTTAGTTTGATTTGTTTCCTGTTATTCGTTAAAAGGTTATCTGAATGTGATGATCATAAGTTGCATTTCATTTGTTTTAGCACCTGACCTGCTTTTTTTAAACTTCAGGTGGTTGTAAATTAATCCACTTCCTCTTCATTGATCTCCCAAAAGCATTGCCAGTTTCTGCTTTGAAATTTATCTTATGTCCATAGCATGTCCCCCCAATAAACCCCATCATTATCCATCTCTGAGTTGGAGATTGCTATTGCTAGTGAAGGAAGCGTGGGACAGAATTCTCGTAACAAGTCAATTTTAAAAGTTTCTGTGGTATCTTATTTTCTCTGCCTCGATACAATAAACAGGAGCCCCTTAAATAGGGGAAGAAACCTATGTATATCCTACCACTAAATTAGGAATAGATCTGTCTAATAATTACAGATAATTGTAAACATTACAAAGTTGTCAAAACTAGTCCTTGTAAATATGTTGGCTAAGACTCCCCCGCAGTCTGAGCAGGCGGTGGACAAACGCTCAAACTGGACCTGAAAGATTGAAACAGTTGTCTGGAGAGGCCTTTTGTAAAGATATCAGCATACTGGAGAGATGAAGGGACATGCAGAACACGAATATGACCAACTTTAACCTTTTCCCGCACGAAGTGGATATCAATCTCAATGTGTTTAGTTCGCTGATGCTGAACTGGATTATCTGATAGATAGACTGCAGACACATTATCACAGTAGACAACGGAGGCCTGTCTCAAAGGAATATGCAGCTCTAGTAATAAATTTCGAATCCAAGTGGCCTCGGCCACAGCATTGGCGACACCCCGATATTTCGCTTCAGCACTAGAACGAGAGACAGTAGGCTGCCGTTTCGATGACCATGATATTAAATTATCTCCAAGAAACACGCAGTACCCGTTGGTCGATCTACGAGAATCTAGGCAGCCCCCCCAATCGGCGTCCGAGTATGCAGTCAAAGAATGATAATTGGACCTTACAATCCGAATCCCATAATCAAGTGTCCCTTGTAAGTATCGAAGAATACGCTTCAGGAAAGCATAATGCGGATCACGTGGTTCATGCATGAATAAACACACCTGCTGTACCGCATAAGAAATATCTGGTCGGGTGAAAGTTAGATACTGTAAAGCGCCAGCCAAACTCCGATATAAAGTAGGATCTGAAAAAGTCTCCATCTGTGGCACTCAATTTTGCAGAAAGATCGACATGTGTAGTGCAAGGTTTACAAGAAGACATCGAGGCCCGAAAGATGATGTCTTTTGCATACTGTGACTGATCTAAGAATAACCCATGAGAGTCGCAGGTGACCTGAAGCCCCAAAAAATGATGCAATTGACCCAAGTCTGTCATTGCAAACTCTCGTGAGAGTTTGCTAATAATCTCCTGCAAGAACGTGTCTGAAGAAGCCGTGAGAACTATGTCATCAACATATAACAATAGATATGCTGTGTGAGAACCCCTGCTATAGATGAAAAGAGAATTATCACAAGCACTGGTGCGGAAGCCCTGCGATAAGATATATGTTGCAAATCGAGTGTACCAGGCACGAGGGGCCTGTTTAAGGCCATACAACGACTTGTTCAACCTGTAGACATATGAGGGGTATCGTTTATCAACGAAGCCCGGTGGTTGATGCATAAAGACTATTCCATTCAAATGTCCGTGAAGAAACGCGTTTTTAACATCAAGCTGATGAATGGGCCACGAACGGGAAACATCAACTGATAACACAATGCGTATGGTAGCCGGTTTAACAACCGGACTAAAAGTCTCATCACAATCAATACCTACGGTTTGAGACTTCCCGTTTACAACTAACCGAGCCTTATATCGTTCTAGAGAGCCATCAGATTTAAATTTGTGGCGAAATAACCACATGCAACGAATGACCGGTTTATCAACCGGACGAGGCACCAACTCCCATGTATAATTAACCTGTAACGCATGAAATTCTGTTTGCATGGCATGCAATCAATGAGGGTCGGTAAAGGCTTTGGAGTAGGAGGTGGGTACAGGAGAGATAGTTGTGGATAAGCGTGTGTTTGGCTTTCGAGCGAGTGGTCATAGGATGATTATTGTTGCCGGTCGGGGCTGATGAGGCTGATGAGGCAGCTTGGGATGGGACGGGAGGTATAGAGGCTGGTGGAGTTGGTGTGGGTAACGGGGCCTGTGGTCGGGGACGATGGGTATAGGTGAATTGAAAAGGAGAGGTCGAATGTGGGGGAGGCTGGGTCGGTTTAGGTGTGGGTCGAGGAATGGGCCTGGTGAAAGTGAAACCGTGTGGTAGATCATCAAGGAAATTGTAGTTGGTATTAGGTGTGGGTATGGTGTATGGAAAGGTGTTCTCGTCAAAAGTAACGTGACGAGAAATAGTGACTTTGTCCGTGGTAGGATCAAAGCATCGATATCCTCTAAAATCGGGAGGATATCCTAGAAAGATGCAACGGACGGAGCGGGTATGTAACTTATGGGGTTGAGTGGCGGATGAATTTGGGTAGCATGCGCACCCAAAAACACGTAGGTGATCATAGGTTGGGTGGCGGAGATATAGGGCAAATGTAGGGGTAAAAAAGTTAAGGCGTTTTGTAGGTAGAATATTGTGAAGATAGGCGGCTGTATGCAAGGCTTCCACCCAGAAGGTAGGCGGAAGATGGGCATGAATAAGTAAAATCACGAATGATATCATTGAGGCGTCGAATCATACGTTCAGCCCGGCCGTTCTGGGAAGATGTTTGCGGGCAAGAAAATTGAAACAAGAGGCCGTGCTGTTAGCTAAAGTCCTTAAAAGCATGGTTGTCAAATTCACCACCCAAGTCACATTGGAATGTTTTAATATGACGGTTAAATTGGGTGAGAATCATTCTATGAAATTTGGTAAAGGTTGGGAAGGTTTCTGATTTATATTTAAGTGGGTATACCCATATAAAGTGTGAAAAGTTGTCAATCAAGACCATGTAATATTTATATCCGGTTGTACTGGCAATGGGTGAAGTCCACAAGTCATAATGAATGATATCAAACGGGGTAAAGGTAAAAGAATTAGATTCATAAAATGGTAAACGTTTGCTGTTGGACAATTGACAAGAATTGCAAACAATGGAAGCATGATTTTTATTACATGAAAAATTAAAATGACGACTAAGAAGGTCTAAGACTTGAGCGCCAGGATGTCCAAGTCGATCACGCCAAGGTAAGGAGGTAGATGTGAGTGAGCAGGCTTGAGGCGGAAGTGTTGGTGGCGTAACTGGATAAAGATTGCCCGTGCTATTGTGGCGGGACAGGAGACGTCCCGTTTTGAGGTCCTTCAAGGAAAAACCAAAGGGATCGAAGTCAATAGAAACATTACTGTCACGGGTAAACTTACGAACAGACAAAAGGTTTTTGATGATTTGTGGACTGTAAAGA